AGGCCTACTGGTATATAGGGTAATGACCCCCTTCATGTAGCCAACTACAACGCTCACAGTGGAGGAAGACTCTGTGCGATACGAAATTCTGCACACTGCTCACCGTCAGGCTCTTCCATTGTTTAACTTATCACAAGTGTATTTCCGCCCCAACATACTAGAGCTCAAAAGCACATGGTTGTCCCATAAGCTTGTATCCTCTGTACCTTACTTCTCTATAAATAGGGTTAACTTAGCTTTTATCTGGAAAGCAGCATAAAAAAGAAAATTAGGTGCTAGTGCCGAAAGTCCAAATTTATCCCACATCCCATTTAGATCTCATACAAGGTTTGGAAATCCCGATTTAGGGATAAAATCCCGTGTATGGAAACACTGAGGTGGGTACTTTAAAACCTGACTTGTAACATTTTTATAAAGTTGATCCATAGGCCTTATTTTCAACTTTAAAACATAACTTAGGCTACATTTAATACACAAAAAAACAATTCCTTTGTTTACAACTATGTAATATTATACTGTCAGCCAATTAAAATCCAAACCAAACCATTAATAGTTGTTTTAGGCTTTAGTCAACTTTTATTGAAATTAATTTGGATAATTTTTATTACACTAAGTTTTTACCTAACTTAGTGCATTTGGAAAGATCGGCGTGAAACTGGCAATAGATTAGCAATAACTCACTCCACTTCTCCTACTTCCCCTCCGACGAATATACGTCACAGTAAAACGTCATAACAATGATGGCGTCATAGCAGCATTCGTCATAGAGCCGACGACATAACCTCCAAAATATCAAGTGGCGGGAACTTTTTTTTGGCGGCACACGGCCAAGATGGCGTTCGGTTGTTCCCGCCAACCGTTGAGTATAGCAAGTGTCTTTAATATATGTAAACAACTGCATAAATGAATTAATGTTAAGGAGTTGTAAACAAAGTAAACGCCTAAAGCCTATCCTAGCACCATAGACTAACAATGACAAGAAGACTTCTCATCCCATTGTAAATTTTGAAGCTCGTTTTTCGTATCTAGTTCATGTACGTGACACGTGGGCGCTAGTGTCCACGAAACTTTGTTTCTATTATTTTAGGGTTAATTTCTTGATTTGTGCTATACTGTTTGGTTATATAACTTGGGTACAGGTTATTGTTTATGATTAGATCGTATTATTTAGTTAAACGAGGCTTTAAATGGCTGTAATAACGGGAAACAAATTGTAAACAAAACAGGACCTCAAGAAAATAAGAAATTGCCATAAATTTCTATTGCTGGCCTATTCGGTTGGTACGATTTTCTGTTTTTCATTTGAAATATGTTTATTACATTGTTATGAACTGGAAAACACTTCGTTTATGTTCTAATAATTATTTATAGTTGAGATAGGTGACTTTGAATTAAACTGGTGTGACCTCGGTTCCATAAGAACCCAACTTACTAAAAATCTTGTTTTTTCGTTTGTACATGTTTGTTACTTCTTAATAAACAATATCTAACGCCTTTTCGAAAAAAATTATCAGTTATTATCAATTAAATGCATTATTTAAATTTTGCTCAAGAAAATATTAAATTACGATAAATTTCTATTGCTGGCCTATTCCGTTGGTACGATTTTCTGTTTTTCTTTTGAAATATGTTTATTACATTGTTATGAACTGGAAAACACATCGTTTATGTTCTAATAACTATTTATAGTTGAGATATGTCACCTTGAATGGCATTGGTGTGACCTCGGTTTCATAACAACCCAACTAACAAAAAATCGATTTTTTTCGTTTGTACATGTTAGTTGCTTCTTAATAAACAATATCTAACACCTTTTTGATAAAATTATCAGTAATTATTAATTAAATGCATTATTTAAAATTTGCCTCAAGAAAATATTAAATTACCAAAAATTTCTATTGCTGGCCTATCCCGTTGGTACGATTTTCTGTTTTTCTTTTGAAATATGTTTATTACATTGTTATGAACTGGAAAACACGTAGTTTATGTTCTAATAACTATTTATAGTTGAGATAGGTAACTTTGAATTAAACTGGTGTGACCTCGGTTCCATAACAACCCAACTTACTAAAAATCTATTTTTTTCGTTTGTACATGTTTGTTACTTCTTAATAAACATAATCTAACACCTTTTTGATAAAACTATCAGTAATTATCAATTTAATGCATTATTTAAAATTTGCCCCAAGAAAATAAGAAATTGTCATAAATTTCTATTGCTGGCCTATTCCGTTGGTACGATTTTCTATTTTTCTTTTGAAATATGTTTATTACATTGTTATGAACTGGAAAACACTTCGTTTATGTTCTATTAATTATTTATAGTTGAGATAGGTGACTTTGAATTAAACTGGTGTGACCTCGGTTCCATAAGAACCCAACTTACTAAAAATCTTGTTTTTTCGTTTGTACATGTTTGTTACTTCTTAATAAACAATATCTAACGCCTTTTCGAAAAAAATTATCAGTTATTATCAATTAAATGCATTATTTAAATTTTGCTCAAGAAAATATTAAATTACGATAAATTTCTATTGCTGGCCTATTCCGTTGGTACGATTTTCTGTTTTTCTTTTGAAATATGTTTATTACATTGTTATGAACTGGAAAACACATCGTTTATGTTCTAATAACTATTTATAGTTGAGATATGTCACCTTGAATGGCATTGGTGTGACCTCGGTTTCATAACAACCCAACTAACAAAAAATCGATTTTTTTCGTTTGTACATGTTAGTTTCTTCTTAATAAACAATATCTAACACCTTTTTGATAAAATTATCAGTAATTATTAATTAAATGCATTTATTAAAATTTGCCTCAAGAAAATATTAAATTACCATAAATTTCTATTGCTGGCCTATCCCGTTGGTACGATTTTCTGTTTTTCTTTTGAAATATGTTTATTACATTGTTATGAACTGGAAAACACGTAGTTTATGTTCTAATAACTATTTATAGTTGAGATAGGTAACTTTGAATTAAACTGGTGTGACCTCGGTTCCATAACAACCCAACTTACTAAAAACCTATTTTTTTCGTTTGTACATGTTTGTTACTTCTTAATAAACATAATCTAACACCTTTTTGATAAAACTATCAGTAATTATCAATTTAATGCATTATTTAAAATTCGCCCCAAGAAAATAAGAAATTGTCATAAATTTCTATTGCTGGCCTATTCCGTTGGTACGATTTTCTATTTTTCTTTTGAAATATGTTTATTACATTGTTATGAACTGGAAAACACATAGTTTATGTTCTAATAACTATTTATAGTTGAGCTATATCATATTGAATGTCGTTGGTGTTACCTCGGTTCCATAACAACCCAACTAACAAAAAATCGATTTTTTTCGTTTTTACATGTTAGCATTGACTATATAACACTACTGTTAGTTACTTCTTAATAAACAATAACTAACGCCTTTTCGAAAAAAATTATCAGTAATGATCAATTAAATGCATTATTTAAATTTGCCTCAAGAAAATATTAAAGTACTATAAATTTCTATTGCTGGCCTATCCCGTTGGTACGATTTTCTGTTTTTCTTTTGAAATATGTTTATTACATTGTTATGAACTGGAAAACACATAGTTTATGTTCTAATAACTATTTATAGTTGAGCTATGTCATATTGAATGGCGTTGGTGTTACCTTGGTTCCATAACAACCCAACTAACAAAAAATCTATTTTTCCGTTTTTACATGTTAGTTACTTCTTAATAAACAATATCTAACACCTTTTTCATAAAACTATCAGTAATTATCAATTTAATGCATTATTGAAAATTTGCCCCATGAAAATAAGAAATTGTCATTAATTTCTATTGCTGGCCAATTCCGTTGGTACGATTTTCTGTTTTTCTTTTGAAATATGTTTATTACATTGTTATGAACTGGAAAACACATAGTTTATGTTCTAATAACTTTTTATAGTTGAGATAGGTAACTTTGAATTAAACTGGTGTGACCTCGGTTCCATAACCACCCAACAAACAAAAAATCGTTTTTTTCGTTTGTACATGTTTTTTACATCTTAATAAACATAATCTAAAACCTTTTTGATAAAACTATCAGTAATTATCAATTTAATGCATTATTTAAAATTTGCCCCAAGAAAATAAGAAATTGCTATAATTTTCTATTGCTGGCCTATTCCGTTGGTACGATTATCTGTTTTTCTTTTGAAATATGTTTATTACATTGTTATGAACTGGAAAACACATAGTTTATGTTCTAATAACTATTTATAGTTGAGATATGTCACCTTGAATGGCATTGGTGTGACCTCGGTTCCATAACAACCCAACTAACAAAAAATCGATTTTTTTCCGTTTTTACATGTTAGTTACTTCTTAATAAACAATATCTAACGCCTTTTCGAAAAAAATTATCAGTAATGATCAATTAAATGCATTATTAAAATTTGCCCCAAGAAAATAAGAAATTGTCATAAATTTCTATTTCTGGCCTATCCCGTTGGTACGATTTTCTGTTTTTCTTTTGAAATATGTTTATTACATTGTTATGAACTGGTAAACACATAGTTTATGTTCTAATAACTATTTATAGTTGAGATAGGTAACTTTGAATTAAACTGGTGTGACCTCGGTTCCATAACAACCCAACTTACAAAAAATCTATTTTTTTCGTTTGTACATGTTAGTTGCTTCTTAATAAACAATATCTAACACCTTTTTGATAAAATTATCAGTAATTATTAATTAAATGCATTATTTAAAAGTTGCCTCAAGAAAATATTAAATTACCATAAATTTCTATTGCTGGCCTATTCCGTTGGTACGATTTTCTGTTTTTCTTTTGAAATATGTTTATTAAATTGCTATGAACTGGTAAACACATAGTTTATGTTCTAATAATTATTTATAGTTGAGATATGTCATCTTGAATGGTCTTGGCGTGACCTTGTTTCCATAAGGACCTAACTTTTAAAACGTCTGTATACCCTAACTAATTTGCATTAATGTTTTGTAGGATGGAAAATGTAAGTGCCCCAACCTATCCAAGGACACCTTAAACTTGGTGATTGGATACGTATAGCAGCTGCAAAACAATTATCGCATAACGTTAGCCTATTAAATTTATAGATTAAGTGAACATTAAGTAAAGGATAAAATGTCTGACAAATAAATGTTAACAGTAGTTTTATTATAACAAACTATAAAGCCCACAGAACAGAGAACAGAGAAGGCGCAGACGATCTCCAACACCCTACCCGCAAAGACGCAGACAATCCCGATCACTTTCATCAACACCCCCGCCGCGAAGACGCAGACAATCAAGATCACTCTCACCATCACTCTCACCAACACCCTCACCACAACTACCTTCACTCCCACCAACACCCCCACCTCAACAACCACCCCCACCTCAACAACCACCCCCACCAACACCACCACCTCAACAACCACCACCAACACCCCCACCTCAACAGCAACCACCACCCCCTCACCATCAACAACAACTACCACCACCCCCACCTCAACAACAACTACCACCACCCCCACCTCAACAACAACCACCACCACCCCCACCTCAACAACAACAACTACGACTCCCGGTACAACACTCCTACCCTGGCATATTCCCCCCTCCCAATTATTTCAACCACCCAACCTCATTCCAATACCTCATTCCGCCTCATAATTCCATTTCCCCATTGTACCATCCACAACAAATCCCACAACATATCCCTCAACAAATCCCTCAACAATTACACATCCCTCAACAACTCCCACTACGCCACATCGTTCCCCAACATCTCATCTTAACCCCTCGAGCCCCTGACATGATGCCTCGCCAGGGACATCCCCCTCAACCCGCTCAACATAATGAGCCTGCCCCACCAGGAGTGTAGGCCTAGATATATTTTATGTTTGTTGTATTGTATTTTTTTTAAATTTTGTATATATTTTTTTGTTTCCAATTAATTAAAAAAACACTTTAAAATCAAAGAAATGATTACTTAAATCCCCTAAATTGTTATAGGTTTAGTTTATTACCCACAAAAATACATGTTTAGCCAAAGTCATGCAACATTAATTGGTTTAATGTAGCGTCGTAATGCAACCAAAGTCAGACGAGCACCTAAATCAATAGTACTAATTTCTTATTTTCTTGAGGGAAATTTTAAATAATGCATTAAATTGATAATTAATGATAGTTTTATCAAAAAGGTGTTAGATTATGTTTATTAAGAAGCAACAAACATGTACAAACGAAAAAATCGATTTTTTGTTAGTTGGGTTGTTATGGAACCGAGGTCACACCAATGCCATTCAAGGTGACATATCTCAACTATAAATAGTTATTAGAACATAAACGATGTGTTTTCCAGTTCATAACAATGTAATAAACATATTTCAAAAGAAAAACAGAAAATCGTACCAACGGAATAGGCCAGCAATAGAAATTTATCGTAATTTAATATTTTCTTGAGCAAAATTTAAATAATGCATTTAATTGATAATAACTGATAATTTTTTTCGAAAAGGCGTTAGATATTGTTTATTAAGAAGTAACAAACATGTACAAACGAAAAAACAAGATTTTTAGTAAGTTGGGTTCTTATGGAACCGAGGTCACACCAGTTTAATTCAAAGTCACCTATCTCAACTATAAATAATTAATAGAACATAAACGAAGTGTTTTCCAGTTCATAACAATGTAATAAACATATTTCAAAAGAAAAATAGAAAATCGTACCAACGGAATAGGCCAGCAATAGAAATTTATGACAATTTCTTATTTTCTTGGGGCAAATTTTAAATAATGCATTAAATTGATAATTACTGATAGTTTTATCAAAAAGGTGTTAGATTATGTTTATTAAGATGTAAAAAACATGTACAAACGAAAAAAAAATATTTTTTGTTAGTTGGGTGGTTATGGAACCGAGGTCACACCAGTTTAATTCAAAGTTACCTATCTCAACTATAAATAGTTATTAGAACATAAACTATGTGTTTTCCAGTTCATAACAATGTAATAAACATATTTCAAAAGAAAAATAGAAAATCGTACCAACGGGATAGGCCAGCAATAGAAATTTATGGTAATTTAATATTTTCTTGGGGCAAATTTTAAATAATGCATTAAATTGATAATTACTGATAGTTTTATGAAAAAGGTGTTAGATATTGTTTATTAAGAAGTAACTAGTATGTAAAAACGGAAAAATAGGTTTTTTGTTGGTTGGGTTCTTATGGAACCGAGGTAACACCAGTTAAAATCAAAGTTATATATCTCTACTATAAATAGTTATTAGAACATAAACGATGTGTTTTCCAGTTCATAACAATGTAATAAACATATTTCAAAAGAAAAACAGAAAATCGTACCAACGAGATAGGCCAGCAATAGAAATTTATGGTAATTTAATATTTTCTTGTGGCAAATTTTAAATAATGCATTTAATTAATAATTACTGATAATTTTATCAAAAAGGTGTTAGATATTGTTTATTAAGAAGCAACCAACATGTACAAACGAAAAAAATCGATTTTTTGTTAGTTGGGTTGTTTATGAAACCGAGGTCACACCAATGCCATTCAAGGTGACATATCTCAACTATAAATAGTTATTAGAACATAAACGATGTGTTTTCCAGTTCATAACAATGTAATAAACATATTTCAAAAGAAAAACAGAAAATCGTACCAACGGAATAGGCCAGCAATAGAAATTTATCGTAATTTAATTTTTTCTTGAGCAAAATTTAAATAATGCATTTAATTGATAATAACTGATATTTTTTTTCGAAAAGGCGTTAGATATTGTTTATTAAGAAGTAAAAAACATGTACAAACGAAAAAACAAGATTTTTAGTAAGTTGGGTTCTTATGGAACCGAGGTCACACCAGTTTAATTCAAAGTCACCTATCTCAACTATAAATAATTATTAGAACATAAACGAAGTGTTTTCCAGTTCATAACAATGTAATAAACATATTTCAAATGAAAAACAGAAAATCGTACCAACCGAATAGGCCAGCAATAGAAATTTATGGCAATTTCTTATTTTCTTGAGGTCCTGTTTTGTTTACAATTTGTTTCCCGTTATTACAGCCATTTAAAGCCTCGTTTAACTAAATAATACGATCTAATCATAAACAATAACCTGTACCCAAGTTATATAACCAAACAGTATAGCACAAATCAAGAAATTAACCCTAAAATAAAAGAAACAAAGTTTCGTGGACACTAGCGCCCATGTGTCACGTACATGAACTAGATACGAAAAACGAGCTTCAAAATTTACAATGGGATGAGAAGTCTTCTTGTCATTGTTAGTCTATGGTGCTAGGATAGGCTTTAGGCGTTTACTTTGTTTACAACTCCTTAACATTAATTCATTTATGCAGTTGTTTACATATATTAAAGACACTTGCTATACTCAACGGTTGGCGGGAACAACCGAACGCCATCTTGGCCGTGTGCCGCCAAAAAAAAGTTCCCGCCACTTGATATTTTGGAGGTTATGTCGTCGGCTCTATGACGAATGCTGCTATGACGCCATCATTGTTATGACGTTTTACTGTGACGTATATTCGTCGGAGGGGAAGTAGGAGAAGTGGAGTGAGTTATTGCTAATCTATTGCCAGTTTCACGCCGATTTTGGAAAGAACAAAATCTAATTACTTGAAAACAATAATAAAACTATTTATAGGTAACTGATCCCCATTAAGACGAATATTTAACCTAAAACTACATACAAAAAAACAAAGCAATAACAGGTTTTGCATGGCAATCAACAGGTGGCTAAAAGTGCAAATACTTGTATAAATTTCGGCATTAACTAACCTTAAAATTTCTGCTGAAACCAAATCATAGAATTTGCAGTCTTATACCTATCAATGAGGTATACAACAATAGTTTTTAGTCAACTTATAAAACATGTACAGTTACCATTCACTGACAAAAGTTTTGTCTAGTCTTCGTCCTCAAGTTTCGAAGCGTCTAGCTAAACATTACAATGTAAACAACACAAACAATAGAGTAAACAAACCCATGTGTAGCACAAAGAAAGAAAAGAAGACGGTTTGAAATCTCGCTCACTAGCGAATGACAGAAGAGTAACAGAACAGCAGTGGTAACAGCTGTATTCCATAGAGGAAGATGTGGTCGTTTTAGGGTCCAAGGTTACAGGACTAAGGTAACATATATTTACTGCCAAGATCCATCTCAATGAGCTAGCTGTGGTTATTATAATAGAATCAGCCTTGAGCTTGAGATTAGAAGTAATGCGAACACGTAAAGTTCTGACTAAACTATCTTATATGATCAGATGATTATCTTTCCGGTTTAAAGGCCGTCTATGGTTAATACAGACATTTTGTTAAATATAAAATTTATTTTAGCCTTTTGTATCAACATAGAAGTATTTTGAAAACGCGTACTGTATTGTCCATTACTTGTATAACGGGTTTTGAAGGAAATGTGTTTTTTTATTTTATATAAGCTAAAATAATTAAGAGTTTTATAATATTTTTGAATCAATTATAATAAAATGCGTGTTTTCATGTTGATTACTTTTGAGCTTACTGCAGTACTGCAGATACAGGTATAAATAATTTTATCTCGTTCGTTGGTATTTATTTAAGTTATGTGAAATTTTATACCGTACAGTAACTAATTATATTCTTATCTTTGGTTATGATCAGGCAATAATAGTTTTATCGGTTGAACTACAAGAAGCAAACTAAGATGTTTTCAAAAGGACTAAAAGGCTTACATTGGCCCATTAAATAAAACTACCTAAGCTTTTGAAGGTCTTAAAGACAGACAACCTCGTTTTTTAAAAAATGAAGAAAAGTAAGGGTTCCAAATACCTCATTTGGAACCCTTACTTTTCTTCATTTTCGAGGGGAATTTAGAACACAAGAAATGAATGTAGTCACTCATATTTTTCTTGAAAATAAGCCTACATAACAGCAATTTTTATCCCCTTTTTGCTCCAGGGGGGGGGGTCCAAGGCCCCCTCCATGATCGCTGATTGTGTACTTCCTTGTACATACATTTTTGTTTTCTTAAAGCTGTCTAACCATGTCAGTGCCTGTCATTATGCAGCCTGTTGTCGCAATATTTGAGTTTAAAGTGTGCTGCAACTATAAATCCCATTAGTTATGAGGTTCGGTTTAAAAAACTGTTTTTCTAGGCCTTAATACCTATAGAAATTTGTTATCGAGGGTGTAAAAGGTACATAAACAACGTAATAAATCAAAGTTTTAAAGTAATTAAGTTTTAAATAAAAGAAATGGTGCATACCTACAGTTTCAAAACAGCTGAACTAAAAGTTGACGTCCTAAATTTTGTGTTTTCATGACAATGCCTGCCTCAAAAGTTAAATCGCAGAAACGACCTCTCCTTCAATCATGGAAAAGTGAGATTTTCTTCAACCACCCACCACTCAGTCCACGGCCTCTGGGTGACTTTCATTTGTTTTGAGCAAAAAAAACTTGATTAATTTAGTGTTGAGGAGCTCCAATTGCGCTTAACCGGGTGGCTGAGCTTTCAGGCGGCAGAATCATGCGACATGGGAATTTCAAAGGTCGTTCATTGCTATGCTTCCTAGTTTTGTATGAATACCCCTGGTGAGTCGTTTATGATACTTTTCACCAAATTTCCAACAAAAGTAAAAAATTACCAAATATTTATTGTGAAAATGGAACACCTATTTTCTAAGTCTAAATCTTTGTTGTAGCTTCATTGAGAACCTAATGAAAAAACTCATGTAGCTTGTTTTTAAAGTGAACTGTGGGAATATTCAGTAAATTTACTAATCTCCAGTTATAATTTTACCTAGCCTTTTTAGTAAACAACGACTTTCTTGTCTACAAAGAGACCAGAAACCACCCGCTCTGTGCAGTAAGTTTAAAAAAGTAGGCTTACTGCGGACGTGAATTTGCTAAAAATAATAAGTTTATATGGTTCACAGGAAAGCAAACGGTAATAAATGAGGGAAAATACATCTTTATTCATACAATAAAACCGATTACACAAAAGTGGTGTGTAGAACCTTCATAACAAGCCTCTTGAAAACATAACACATTATAAAATGTTTAGAATATTCCAATATATGGTATTTTCAGCTCAAACCTTGATAAGAAATCAAAGTAAACTTTTATCTTTTAGAGAGGCTTCCTATCAAGGTTCTACAGAACTAACGCAGTATTCATACAGTGAAAAATGTGTTACAAATTATAAAACAAAATATTGTTTTGTTCACTTGATCAACGTATACAGTATGTGATGTCACTTGTGTAAAAAATAAAAATAAATGACAACCTATATTTACAAATAAAATAAGACCGATAAGGTATATTATGACTTCGATAGCAATAATTTGTTTGCAGTGAAGTTATATGACTACTTGATCGTTTTCAAACTATCACTCTCTGACTAGGGAGTAGTTTCAAAGGATAACTTAGTCAAGGAACTAAGACCACTACGACAAAACAAAATTACAACTAAATTGGTCAAATTCTAAAACTAACACACACAAAAAAGCACCAAAAAAAGATTTATAAACAACCCGTTCTGACCAAAACATCTCACGCTTTTTTGATTTCCAATTATTGTACAGAGCTATTAAAGACAGTTACAGTGTGTTTACTATTAAAAATTAAGTTGCTTCAACTGTTTAGTACTAAAAAAAAGACATTGATGATTAATGTGAGTATGATTTAATAACATAAACATTAAATAAAGAAGTGCATACATATTTGGATACATCAGTTTAAAATAAGCAAATACAATCAAAGAATCTACCTTAATTTAAACCTTTTTTGTAATCCTCTTAAAAAAAAACAGAAATTTTACTATACTATATTTAATCAATTTAATCATAAGTTATGTTCAGTCTACACCCCCTGAGTCTACATTGGTTAAAGAACAATCAACTAAATTGACTAGAAAACAATTATCTAAACTTAATAACAATGTATGTAATATTGTATACCAAATAGCCTAACAAAAGCATTACAAAAATAATGTCACCCACAGTAAAAGGGGAAAGTTACAACTTAAATTTGTTCAACACAAAAGTGAGTTAAAAAAGTAAATCATGCCATTCGAGTAAAGAATCAGTATACAGAGTCAGTACGGTATACATTAATTACAAAATTATAAAAGAAAGGTCATAATAAAAAAATAATATACCGTAACATTAATTGTGTAGAATAAAGTAAAACTCAGTGTGGAACTTATGTACTAGACAATACCTAGAATCATTGTCAGTGAATTTTGTGGATTTAAACTCGTAAAGGAATTTTTGTGACTTTGCTATACCTTTGTTGAATTTTCAACAGAACAATTTTAAATTTAGTAAAATATATTTAATATCATCAACTGAAAGATGCTACAACATTCATAAGTTTTGGAATTTGACAGGATTTACTTCTTCTTGTGATCCTTATACAGTATAGGACCTTGATATCAAAAGTGTCTCATGGAATAATAAGACTTCTATCAAGGTCGACTTCTTATTTAGGTTTGCAATAACGTAATGAAGGATAATGTATTCAAGCGTATTTAAAAATAACACTTGCTATCAAGGTTCTACTGTATATCCTAACAGTCAAAACGTGCAATCTGTTAGTATTAACATAGGAAAACAAGGCAAAGTAAAGAATTTAAACTTAAACTAGAATATATTTTGGGAGCATCCAAGATTTTAAAAACTGCTGTGATGTACAAGATACTTTTGTCGGGGGAGCGAGCTGGTCTAGTGGTAGAGCGCAGGACTTTTGTCCCTGAGGTCCCGGGTTTAAATCCAGCTAATCACCAAGGAATTTTATCTAAGTAATAATGCTTCCTACCTTCTCTAGACCTAGCCTGAAGTAATGTAAAAACAGTTCCGGACTAAAACATAAATAAATTCAAAAATATAAAAAAGGTACTTTTTTTGTTTTAGCGAATTTCCCTATACCGGTAGGGAAGTAGCTATTACCGTAGGTGGCACGGTAAGACCTAGACCCGGGACCGATTTACTTTTTCATTTTGATGTCCCCAGAGGCCAAAAACACTATTCGTTCAAATTTTTATATATGTATATATATATATATATAGACTTATATATATACGTCCGTGAACGCGATAACTTGAGTAATTTTTGTCCGATTTTGATGAAATTTGGTTTAAAGGTGTAAAGCGGGATAAACTTGAATGAGTTCGCGAACCAGCACGATCGGACCATGGGAACTGGGCTTTATGGGGGGTTTTATGGGGTAAAAATTGGTTTTTCTCACTTTTGACCCTCAAAACACAAAATTTACCGATTTCTCTTTAGACATTTTTAAAGAGCTTAAAAAAACAAATAATTTAGTATGTAAAAGTATTTTTGTTCGATTATTAGTAACGGAGAAAATAAAAAAAATTGTAAATTTAAAATTCCCATGTTAATCTTATGGAGAATATTGTCAAATGTTGTAGTTTGCTTGTTTATGGATATATTTTGATCAAACTTGGCAAATTTATTTATTTTGTACTAAGCTATCAATATTTTACTCAAAAACACACTTTATTAGTTTCCTTGTAGCAGCAAACCTAGGTACTCGTTAAACCTAATGTTATTAAAATATATTTAACTGAAAATCAATTCAGACAAATGGAAATTTGCTTAGTCGGCAGGTTTGCTGCGGCGGGGGTATTTTAGACTTCTTCTAGAAATCTTACAGATACATAACACAATATAAACTAGACCTACTTGGTGCCCTGAGGTAAATAAACAAATCATCTGGTCAATACACAAAATCCATGAAAACGTTTCTATTTACAAATTCCGACTAGAAACACACACTGTTAAATCACAGGCTAGAATTTGTATTTAAATATCCTTCAACGCACATGGATTACATCTCCTTTGTGCGTGTACATTCATTCCAAACCAACAAAAACCTATTTCATGTCTTTAAATTAATACAATAAACTTACAACAAACAATGTTCTTCGTATTTGTTCGAATGTCCTATTCTACAGTGATATACACATCTCCTCATGTCATAGTATGGTGCTTACTTCTGTACTGTAATAAATGCACGGTGGCATATCATGGATTAAAGGGATACCGGTGTCATAGAAAGCGTTACTAGTTAACCAACTTGGGCCAAACTTGGTAGAAAACCCAATCTTCGAGGAAAGACGGAACAAAAGCTGTGTCTCGGGTGAATTCGACTGGAATTTGTAAGTTACGCAGCTGGTCTTCAAACATCGCTAGAGATTTCGGGCTGGAAACACCGTTACCCTGTAAAACCCACAGGAATTATTACAAATCAAATAAACTATAGGATACATACTACATACATTAATTATGTATTACACATAATTTTCAGTCACTAAAAACATAAAAGTAATATTTTGTACGTTAATAAAAATCATCTAAAGAATAACATCTATCATCGAGCATATAGCCTTTAAAAGTTACTTAAATTAGTTTATATTAATTTCTGATTTAATGTTTTCTGGTAGTCTATTGTTTAGTAATTCAAACTTACTGCCATCTTCTCCCAAATTGAGACAACTCCAAGCCTCCATTATATTTTTTCACTTATGGCTCAGAGAAGTAAGATGCAGAGGATACAAGCTTATGGGACAACCGTGCGCATTTAGCAGTGGTATGTTGGGGTGGAAAATGTACTTGTACCGAGCAAGGAAGAGCCCAAAGGTGATGGCCCCATAGCACATTTGTACAGCAGTTGTAGCACACAGGGTATTCCTACAGTGTGAGCGCTGTAGTATGTGATGGTGAGGGGAGAAAGAAGAGCAGAAGGGACGAGAAATAGAATTTGTTCTTGACGCCATTGACCGTACCATTGTATCCTCTGTCTCTTACTTATCTTACAGTAAGATTTTTTATCTTCTATTATTTGACCAAACACTCAACTTAACTAAAAGCTTTAATAGCTATCAGCATTGGGCATTCCAGCACATATGTGGGTTCGAAAATATGTGGAAACAGTTTATGCATTGATTAGTTTAGAATTTTTAAAAAGCTGGCTTTACTATAAACTTACATGGGTCAAATATTTTCCCGATGGCTTAATAACTTGCATAGCCTTGTTGAGAATCAGACGAATAAAGTCCCAAACTTCACCTTGTGGAGTCACTGATACAGGAATGTCAGTTAGGTCTCCAAACACGTAATCTACCTTCTTGCCTTCAGCGATCATCTGGTCCAACGATTTGACGCAATCGTCAATCACTATCTGGAAATATAATCAAAACTGAATATTTTTGATGGCCTAAAAAAACATGCCTTAAAATAACACCACAATCGTAAAAATCGGTTGAGGACGGGTGAAAAAGGGAAGTTACAGAGAAAACCCTTATTGTATTAAGTATATACAGGATGTTCTGAAATAAACAGCCAAACTCCAGAAATCGTTCTATGGGTTAAAATAAACAGAAAGTTTTTCCAAAATCGTTTTGTTAACCAGGTATCTGTGATTTTTTTAATTTTCAACACAAACGGTTTTATTTTAAGATTTTTCCGACTTATCCTTCATTTAAAATTACTTATCAAACGATTTCAAGTTCAAAAAAATATAAAAATAGCTGAAATATCATGATTTTAGTTGTAAAATGAGGTGCTGAGGTGCAATCAGACTATCTTATCCAACGACCAAGATATTGGAGCTTCTTATTATGAGGATGAGAATGAGAATGATAATTTAAAAAACAAGAATCAACTCGAGTTTGTTTAGCTACTCTTATTATCAATGCCTCATCGGGCATTTAATTTTAGAAAACACTCAAAATACGAATGATAAGGATATGATATGAGCAGTATTATGTTATAGAGCTGTTCATATGGCCTACCTTATAGTTGGGCCCCTCCAACTGGTCCAGAATATCTCCACAGCAGCCTCTCAAATGTTCCCTGCATGCTCTGATCACTACCTCGTCTAACTGAAACATTCAACGATACAGTATAACACTTAACGAGGGGATCTTTGCGAAAATTGTGCATTTCAATAGGTTTAAAACATGTTTTCAAGGCAAAACACAAAATAACCTTTTACCTTTTAAAGAGTATGTTAGTTTTAGACAGTTATTGGGTGAATGAGACTACTAATCCTACTAATATTATAAATGAGAAAGTTTGGATATGTATGGATGTATGGATGTATGTTTGTGACAAGTGAACGCGAAAAATACTGGTTGGATTGGGCTGAAATTTGGCATGATAATAGCTCACATTCCCGATTAACACATAGGCATATTCTTATTTCAAAAATCCTTTTGGGCTCCGCCCCAGTGGCTCTGGAGTTTCCCATGTTAACCTTATGAGAAATGGAATTATTGAATCTTAACAGCTGTTTCAATTAAACAAGTTGGTTCAGTTCTATGATGTTCAATAGCATTAAAGTTACCAGGATTACCAACAGGGTGCAGCACTATTATTTCTTTAACATTTATGACAACAGCTAATTTGCAACCAAAAGGTGAGTGAGCGTAGCGAACGAACTTCAACCTGGAGGCGAGTTAGCGTAGCGAACAAGCTAACCTGAAGGCAAGTGAGCGCAGCGAACGAGCTCCAACCTAAAGGTGAGTGAGCGTAGCGAACAAACTTCAACCAGGACGTGATTGAACCATGCGAACGAGATAATCTTGAAAATTAAGAAGTTAAACGGGGCAAAGCCCGGGTTACAGCTAGTTAACAATAAATTAAATTATCGATGTAGATTTACACTATAAAGAGTTATTTATAGTGTAGCCTGTTTAAAATGCATTTTCATAAACAGCTTAGTCTCTTGTTTGCAATCTGACTGTGGTTAAACATCAAACTGAAGGATCAGCTGTTACAATTCACATTCAAAGCACTTTATAAAGAAAGTTGGTGAGCATCACAGGATCGTTGAAAGCCAACTCTAGAAGTAATCAAACACTAGGGGGCCGAAGACCTAAAAGAAATTACCTTTTTAGTTACCATTAGTCCCTCTGCTAGGTCATAAGCTTTACAAGGACACCTCATTCGTAAGAATCGGTTAAGTAGAACTGGTGAAAAAGGGATGTTACACGGAAAAGCTGTGTTGAATTAGATACTAAGAAAATGTGGCTAAGTGATTAGGTGGCGTACAGAATAATAGCATCATCGCTGCCTTAAATTATTGTTCTCTTAGACAGCTTAAAGATTGAGAATTCGAAGAATATGACTATTTTACTTCTGTTCACTCACCTCCAGCATGGTGACAAACTTGGGCTTTTCTTTGAGCAGTTCATACAGCAGTGCTCCATCTCCACCTCCAAGTATCACTATTTCTTTCCCTGCGTAATCTTCCTTGCCTCTCTGCATCAATGTCTCGGTGTAGATCAGGTCTCGCTCTGACAAATCTGGCAACAAATCCATTGTTACACTGAATACTGACTCATTCTAACAAACATCAGCTAAATTACATAAATTGCAGTAAACTTATTTACCTTTGTTTTGAAATGTAATAGTAGTTTACTCAACGATTGCGTAAAGATAGTGTTAACGATATGAGTAGCAAATTTAAGGTACGGTACGAGCCTTGGCGAGTGCCTTAAAACTTTTACGAGTGTCGTTAACACTATTTACGTGAGTTGCATACACTACTTTACCTACGACAGTGATTTAATTACTAAGAATCACTACTCAAAACTTCTAAGAGAGGTTATGTTTTCATTTATAACCTCTCATTGCACCACTCAACAATTAAATAGGCCTGAACAGCTGATTAGTTTAAATTCGAATAGTTACAATTTTTCTTCTTCCCTCTCAATACTTGAACCTCATTAGTGCATTACCCGTGTTTTTATGAGTAAAACTATGCTTTTATGAAAATAAACAATGCTGTTATGGGTAACTTTTCAATTCTAAGAACTGAACTGAAACGGCTACTTTAAAAAACGGTCGTAGGTAAAATTGTTTTATTAGGGCTTTGGGTTTAACAGTGTTGCATCAAAGTAGACCCTCAAGTCTGATCAATAAGCGTGTGTAAGGTGTTGCCCATCAGCCAAAAGACGGCTTGATTGAATCCAGTCTTATTCAGTTTATTCATGTAAATTGTCACAAATTACACCATATACAGAGGAGTTTCCTCAATGGTAGATGACATGTCAAAAATATGATACAAAAATGTTAAAAACTAAATTAAAATGTAACTTAAACGTAATGAGAAAACAAACTCTCCACATGAACCATTTTACAAACCACTATTACTATATAAAATGAAATCCTCTACTGAATAAAACATATGGCTCTTTAGATAGTTAACAAGTTTTCTTTTAAATGCTTTATTCAGGTCCGATGTGTAGGCCTAACTTATTGTAGTAACATTAAACATTATATATTACCAATCAAGTTGGGAAAACCACCTATTTGTGTATTTTAACCCAAAAATAAGTTAAGGGTGAGTGTAGAATTAAAGGAAATACCTTATGCAGCGTTGTTACTGACTAAGACCAACCATTGCATTAGCTGGACCATTAACAAGAACAGCTGGGTCAACTTATGAACCATTAAAAAGCTATAGTTCGGCCGCTTAGAAAACGACCTGCGCGCTAATGCTAAACCAATGGTGGAGGAGGTCGCTTTCTAAGCGGCCGAACTATATCAATTTTTCTCAGGATCAAATTGGGGATCTTTGATTACTAGGTGAGAGCTAACTACTCAGCTGTACAAGTTTTATATAATTTTACCTATCTGTGGTAGATTTGGTGGGAGAGGCCCAAAATAAATTTAGTGAAAGTTGACAGTACATGAGGATTTACAAAGTGGGAATTTTGCTATATGTATGCATGACTATGACATGATTATACATTTTTAAATGACAACGGCATGATTATATTGCTTAAAATTGAACCGATAAAATTTTTAAGACTCAAAAGCATGAAATCTAATCTTGATATAATTTTGGCAAAATATTTTATTGTTTTCAAAAACTCCAATGACACTAAAATGAATTGGTTAAAAAACTTTAAAAGTTTCTCAGACAAAAACAACTCCTTATACTTACTTTGTAGTTCATCCAAAACCAAGAGGTTTCCTAAGCTCTTAGAATGCACAATCTGCACCTTCTGGTAAGGAGACTGCTCCTCAAAGACCACAGCATCGATGTCGTACTCTAAAATTCTCTCGTCTGTACAGTACATTTTAAAAATCAAAATTAATGGTTTAACATTCAACATTTAGTAGCTCGCTACATTTCAACTTTATTCATACATCTGAATTTTTTATGATTGTGTTTTAGTTTTTTATACTACATTTATTGTGCAGCACAAATGAACAGGGTGACACATACAATAGAAAAAGATACTATGCAATTTTAACTTGTTGTAACCACTATTGTACGCTTACGAGATAAACTGCCGAATAATGTAGATTCAACAAATTAAATCCAAACTTTTACGTGAACAAATTTGTATCACAACCCCAGAATAAAGAAAGATGACCTAAAAAATGTTGAGAATTTGTTGGTCCAAAAACAATTTTTCAGTTAGACAATATTTAAACATATAGAAAATTAACTTCTTAAATTTTTTTGTCATTCTTATTATAGCAATCCATAGCATTTGGACTCTTTTTATGACAAAATAGGCCATCTTATCTCTGTCTGCAGTACAAAATTGTCATCAGCAGTTTTGATTCTACAGTCATCACAGCACTATTGATATTTATTTTGTGTTATGTCCTATATGTGTCGTTTGTTATGGATTTATTTATTTTTATATTTGGACATATTGTACGTTTTTACAATGAAACCAATCAGCACCTTGTTGATGAAAATTTGGATTACAGACAGAGGTAATACAGTCTATTTCGTCATTGTTTTCCTAACAATAAAAATACGTAAGATCAAATTATGAATTACTTTATTTAAATGAAAGTATACCTAGCTTAAGGGGAAAAAACAGCTGATTACCTGAAGTCAGAAAATATCTGTCTGTCTTGCTTCCTCGTTTAAAAGCTGGATACTTGTGGCATTTCATGCAGCCTGTTTGTTCAGTAAAACTTTCCTCCATCTTTCTCAAAGTCTGCCAAAACCCAATCACACAAAACACATGGTTGTGAACATGCAAAATAAACTGGGCAGTAACAAAATGCAAACATTGTCGACCATCTACAAGAAGCTAAATTACTAACTAATCAAGTAATCCTGGGGTCACCCATGGCGTCATTTTTGAACGGAAAAACGTAAAATTGCTCAATTGTAGGGATGTCACCATAAGTCCAAACAAAAAAAGGTCAAATGCATGGCAATACAACTTATTATTTTCCCACGGTGGCGGGTACAAGGTGGAGGTCTAGTATCACCGTGTGTCTCAGGTTTTTTAGTTTTATAACGACCTCTTACAAACAGTTATTCCACGTTTTTTTTGTTGTTTTTTTTTGCCTGGAAATGACTCGGTAGAAGTCTAAAGTTGCCAGTATAGGCTCCAGGATTACTTGCACAGTAAGATAACTTACCCTCTTGTAGATAATTAATTGTGAAGTAATCTGAAAGGTGATACACAAAATGGTGAACTAAAATTGTATTAAAACTGAATGTAAAAATACTACAATGAAACTGCCAGGTTCAGTATAGGCTAAGTGATAAGCTAAAATAATATTTCTACAGTTGCAATAATTTCTAAAACTGAATTAAATGTGATGAGAAAAACTTTAAGCGTGAAAAATGATTAAATAAAATCTTTGAGCCACTTTTGAAAATCTATATATTAAAAAATATCGGTTTTTCTTTTCCGACGCCCAACAGCAAATGGACACCTTCAGTTGGATAGCGTTGCTTATTCAAGGTCACATACCATGCACACCAATAGATGGACACCGACGCCCGACGGCAAATGGACACCTTCAGTTGGATAGCGACAATTATTCAAGGACACATAACAATGGACACGCCTTACCCTCTGGGAGTAATGTTATATTATACAAGTTTTCAAGTTCAAAATTATATAATAAAAAAAATTATAGATCGTTTGCCTTTACAACCTCCCTCTACACTCTCTACGTCGCGGACCTGTTACCATCACTCCCCTTGCCTTTTTAAGCATTTCGTTCTTTTATTCTATAGTTACTTGACATTTCCCACGCTCCAGACCGTTTGCCTTTGCAACTTCCCTCCACTTCCTGTACGACGTGGACCTGTTTCCATCACTCCCTTAGCTTTTTTAGGCATGGCCTTGTAATATTCATTAGTTACAAGACATTTCTCACGCTCCTGATCGTTTGCCATTGCAACTTCCCTCCCCTTCCTCTACGTCGCGGACCTGTTTCCATCACTCCCTTAGATTTTTAAAGCATTGCATTGTATTATTCTATAATTACTTGACATATCCCACGCTCAAGACCGTTTAACTTTGCAACTTCCCTCCACTTCCTCTACGTCCCGGACTTGTTCCGTCACTCTCTTAGCCTTTTTAGGCATGGCCTTGTAATATTCAATAGTTACAAGACATTTCCCAGAGGAAAGACCTGGGAGGGGATTAAGAGAGAAGCAGCCAACAGAGTGAGGTGGAGGGGAACAGTTGAGGCCCTATGCTCCAGGAGGAGTCATCGGGATTAAGTAAGTCACAAGACATTTCCCACGCTCCAGAACGTTTGCCTTTGGAAATTCCCTCCACTTCCTCTACGTCGCGGACCTGTTTCTATCACTCCCTTAGCCTTTTTAGGCATGGCCTTGTAATATTCTATAGTTACAAGACATTTCCCACGCTCCAGACCGTTAGCCTTTGCAACTTTCCTCCACTTCCTCTACTTCGCGGACTTGTTTCCATCACTCCCTTAGCCGTTTCAAGCATGGCCATGTATTATTCTAAAGTTACTTGACATTTCCCACGCTCCAGACCGTTTGCCTTTGCAACTTCCCTTTACTTCCTCTACGTTGCGGACCTGTTTCCATCACTCCCCTAGCCTTTTTAAGCATTGCGTTGTATTATTCAATAGTTTCTTGACATTTCCCACGCTCCAGCCCGTTTGCCTTTGCAACTTCCCTCCACTTCCTCTACGTCGCGGACCTGTTTCCAGCACTCCCTAAGCCTTTTTAAGCATTGCGTTGTATTATTCTATAGTTACAAGACAATTCCCACGCTCCAGACCGTTTGCCTTTGCATCTTCCCTTCACTTCCTCTACGACGCGGACCTGTTTCCGTCACTAACTTAGCCTTTTTAGGCATGGCCTTGTAATATTCATTAGTTACACGACATTTCCCACGCTCCAGACCGTTTGCTTTTGCAACTTCCCTCCACTTCCTCTACGTCGCGGACCTGTTACCATCACTCCCTTAGCCTTTTTAAGCATGGTCATGTATTATTCTATAGTTACTTGACATTTCCCACGCTCCAGACCGTTTACCTTTGCAACTTCCCTTCACTTCCTCTACTTCGCGGACTTGTTTCCATGACTCTCCTGGCTTTTTAAGCTTTGCGTTGTATTATTCAATAGTTTCTTGACATTTAACACGCTCCAGCCCGTTTGCCTTTGCAACTTCCCACCACTTCCTCTACGTCGTGGACCTGTTTCAATCACTCCCCTAGCCTTTTTAGGCATTGCGTTGTATTATTCTATAGTTACTTGACATTTCCCACGCTCCAGACTGTTTGCCTTTGCAACTTCCCTCCACTTCCTCTACGTCGTGGACCAGTTTCCATAATTCCTTAAGCCTATTTAAGCATGGCGTTGTATATTTCTATAGTCTCTTGACATTTCCCACAATCCAGACCTTTTGCCTTTGCAACTTCTCTCCACTTCCTCTACGTCGCGGACCTGTTTCCAGTACTCCCTAAGCCTTTTTAAGCATGGCTTTGTATTATTCTATAGTTACTTGAAATTACCCATACTCCATAATTCGCTAAAACGATATACTACACCCTATATCTAGCAATAATGTTTTTAACATTTTTTTTCTTAGAGCAATTATTATTTCACTTTAAATACCCTAATATGAGGTACTTCCCCAAGTCAGATTTTGGTAGGCTTTTTTTGTGTTGTGTGGAGGTATAAAAGTAATGAAATCCGTTGAAAAACCTTTTGAAACAATTTTGTTGAACCTCTACTATATATTTCGCTTTAATGACTGGACTACCGTTACCGTGGTAATTAAAAATCATAATCCAATATTTTAAATTGATCCTAAATTTTTAAATTGATTATCATGATCCTATATTTGTTTATTGGATTCCTCGCGGGACTGGCCGTTGGGCCAGTACACATCGTTTTTATATCTGGAACTATTAATATTCCCATGCCTTCCAGATAAATTGTAGATCCCGGAGGATAAGGCATAGACACACATACACATTGAAGATACATTGAAGACATGCCACGCACACCAATGGGAGGACACCGATGCCACGACGTCAGGATACCTCCAGTTGGACACATACCACTCACACCAATGGATGGACACCGACGCCACGACGTCAGGATACCTCCAGTTGGACACATACCACTTACACCAATGGATGGACACCGACGCCACGACGTCAGGACACCTCCAGTTGGACACATACCACTCACACCAATGGATGGACACCGACGCCACGGCGTCAGGATACCTCCAGTTGGACACATACCACTTACACCAATGGATGGACACCGACGCCACGACGTCAGGACACCTCCAGTTGACCACATACCACTCACACCAATGGATGGACACCGACGCCACGACGTCAGGATACCTCCAGTTGGACACATACCACTTACACCAATGGATGGACACCGATGCCACGACGTCAGGACACCTCCAGTTGGACACATACCACTCACACTAATGGATGGACACCGACGCCACGACGTCAGGATACCTCCAGTTGGACATATACCACTCACACACACCTTTTCACACGCCTTATCCTCTGGGAGTAGTGTTATATTCATGAACATGTTCAAGTTCAAAATTATATTATAAATAAAATTTAAGTGTCAATACTAAAAGTGGATTTCCTTCAAGTTTAGTCTTTTGCAAAATTAAAGATTTTAAAACTACAATTCATTTGTAATGTGGCGTGTAGCCTACATAACAAAAATGGCGTCCTAATAAATATAGACAATTTACTAATAATACAATATTTATTCAACTCACATTTACTGTTATTACAAAAAAATAAGTTTCAGCTCATTGTTTAAAGATACATAACTATTCCGAAATAAACATAGCTTCTGAAATATTAAATTTTAGCTAATTGTTTAAAACTACATAGTTATTTCAAAAACATAATATATGAAATGTTCCTTGCAATTCCTACACTGCAAGTTATTTATCTATTATTCTTTTACAAAACATTATAGACAAATAAAAACTTAATCAAATAAACAAAATCAAGTTAAACTTAGCGAGTAAACAAAATCAAATAAATACAATCATGAGGACCGGCTTACCACTACATTACTATAATATTATGAATTCAGAAATGTTGAGAGTCTGGGTCAGAGAAGCTGGGACAATCATGATTGTCAACTGACTGATCGGAGATGTGTGCACTTGCCGGTGTCACACAACCAGGAACACTTGACTGATGCACGTTAGATGAATACTTACTTGAATACTTACTTGAATACTTACTTACTTGAATACTTGTTGTCTTAATCTTTGACCGAAGTATATCGGATAGATTGCGTCGTTATACTAATATTTACAAAATTACTATATACAAAACTTGTTTTACAAAGTATCATAAAACTAAAAACTTAAAACTTGAAACTTAGGCTGTGGTAAGCGTGTCTATTTCTCAACCTGGCATCAAAGGATCATTTGACAACTCGTCTAGACTATACAGGGGCCTATTTGTGAGCAAGTTCTTCAGCTCGGACTTAAACGCTGTACCGTCAAGATTCCTTAGGTGGTTTGGAAGGGAGTTGAAGATTTTGATAGCCGATCGGGGGTATCTCCTTAAGGTATGGCTCAAGCGGCAGCGAGGCATATCCAGGTCATGGGCCCTTCTTATTCCATACTCATGCCTATCACCTCGGGTCACAAAATCACTTTGGTTTTCCTTTAGCAAGACCAGACTATTAAGTACATACTGGCTCACCACTGTGAGGATTCCCAATTCTTTGAAGATGGGTCGGCAATGTTCTCTTGGGCCTTTAGATGTTATCACCCTCACAGCTTTTTTTTGTAGCAGAAGTATTTCATGGCATGCAGGGGAGTGTCCCCAGAGCACTATTCCGTACATCAAATGGCTATGAAATAAGGCATGGTATATGGTTACCAGATAGGTCTTAGTGATTTCATCTCGGAGTTTCCTTAGCAGATAGAGAACTCTGGATAACCTTACGCATATCTTATCAATGTGGTTAGACCAGTTTAGCCTAGAGTCCAGCCAAAACCCAAGCAACTTCACAGCTTCCTCATGATCAGTCCTCGACTTGAGGGTGCACATCAAAGATTGCGTCTTTTCTTCATTTATTTTGAAGCGATTTGCAACAAACCAGGACTTAGCCTCAACAAACAACTCGTCCGCTGTATCCCTCAACAGGTTAATGTCTTTCCCTCTAGTCACCAGAGTGGTGTCGTCTGCAAAGAGGAGGGTGCAGCCGTTTAGCCAAAGGTCGTTTATCATGATGCTAAACAGTAGAGGGCCTAACACCGAACCTTGAGGAACGCCATGGGGAACAACCTGGACTTTTGAGGACACTCCGTTCACTGATACCAATTGCCTACGATTTTCTAAATAATTCTGCAAAGAGCACAACACTGTACCACCAATACCATATTTTTTCAGTTTCCCTAAAAGGATGTTGTGGGAAACAACATCGAACGCCTTACTCAGATCGCATAACCTCAGCATGACTGAGTCATTGCACTCAAAGGCATCTGAGATGAGGTCAGTCAGATTCATTAGGGCTGTAGTAGTTGAGCGCCCACTTCGGAATCCGTGCTGGGCATCCGAAAGCAAGTTGTTACCTTCAAAATATTTAATTAGCTGCCTCTTCATCAGTCTCAAGTACCTTAGAGAACACCGGCAAGATAGATATGGGGCGGTAGTTAGACGGTTCTGAGGGATCTCCCTTTTTAAAGATTATGGTCTTTAAAGAATGGTCCTAGCAACTTTTAGGACATCTGGAAAGGACCCCTTTAGTAAGCACAAGTTAACTAGCTTAGTTAGCGGTGTACATATCAGATGTATAATACCTTTAAGTATAGAACAGGAGATACCATTTACATCTTGGCTGTCAGAGTTTTTGAAGCCCTTCACTAAACTTATAATGTAACGTTCACTCACCTCAGTCCAACTTGTTAGTGTGTGGTAAGCTATCTCTTCATGATGAAGATGTAGATGGAGAATATCCAGTTGTTGGACCGGATGTGCCACAAGGGATGTACGCATAAGATACTTTTCCAATTGCGTTGCGGAATACTTCCATTTTTAACCCCATTTTTATTTTAGTTTGTTTATATCCGATTTTCATGATTGAGGTCTCGAATTGAAGGTATGCAAGTACAGATTTGCCATCAAGCATCGGCATAAATGTATCTATAATCCCACTCGGTGTATATGTAAACAAAATTTGCTCCCCATGTATTTCTTATGGAACTTAAATTTGGTTTCTCTTTGCCGAGTTCGTTTGGCTCTTCTACCCGACCGATTTTCATGATTGAGGTCTCAAATTGAAGGTATGCACACAAAGATTTGCCATCAACCATGGGCATATATTTATCTTTAACCCCACTTGGCTTATACGTCAACAAAATTTTCTCCCGATGTATTTCTTATGGGAGTTAAATTTGGTTTCTCTTTTCCGAGTGCGTTTGGCTCTTCTATCCAACCGATTTTCATGATTCAGGTCTTAAATTGAAGGCATACACGCAATGATTTCACATCAAGCATCGGCCATCCAAGTAAATGCATCGGCATATATTTACCTACTGTATTATTTGACCGAAAAAATCATTTGATTCATTTTCAAATTCTTACTTCAATTTAGGATGTGTTTAACCAGTTATTTTGGTTTAAGGAACATCAGTGAAATACCTGCATTCATTAATCTACTGTATTAGTTATTCAAATCGGACGAGTTTCAAGCAAACGCAAGGAGAAAAACTAACATAAACATTTTTTCGTAAGGGTTTTCTATGACTAAAAATCAATGGCTTCTATATTGTTCATGTATGTTTTAGACTCAAAATAATCAGTACTGTATTTATAGGCTTTATATTGAGCTATTGATCGTTTGAATCAGTATCAAGATACTGTATTACTCATCAAAACTCATAAATTTGATTAGTTCTTGGATATTATATTTTTAGTTTAACGCTGCGGAGCAGCATGGGTCCTCTAGTCTATAAAAAAAAACAGTTTAATGTAAATTATTGACAAAATTTGATCGTTTAACACATTTTAGGTATAGTTGTGACCCAGGGTGGCTAGTAAAATCACATTGAAAAATTCCCTGACTTTTCCCTGACAATTCCATGATTTTTTAAACTTTCCCTGATCAACAAATTCAAAGTTACAATTTTAATACTACCTAACTAATTCTTCAAAAGGACTAATCTTTATCTGAAGAATATCTTATGTTTGTTTACATGAAAAACATGCATAAAATCTATAGATACAGGCTACCTTATATTTAAACTTTGCAACTTACCTTAATAAAATTAAACTGAGTTAAGATGATACACAGTTTATAATAAAATTTAATTTGTACAAAAACACAACATTTATTTGTAGAGACATACTTCTTAGTTTTCACCCACACCGCACACATACTCTCAACCTTTCCTAACAATTATTAAAATTATGTTTAACATTTTACAATTTTCCCTGACTTATGACAAAATTCCCTGACTTTTCCATGACTTTTCCAGACTTTTCCCTGACATTTCCAGGTTTTCCAGGTCACTAGCCACCCTGTGACCTTTGACTATGTAACAAACTGGAAATCGCATTCCATATTAATTTTTTAGCCAATTAAAAAATGAAAATGACATACCCACAGAGTGCCTAATTGCTGTTGTAAATAACTGATTTCTGTAGAATAAGCAAACTTTTTCACCTAACTAAACTGAAAGGACGACTTATTGCAAGCTATAGTATCTTTAATATCACATCCTCTATTACAGTCAACAAAGACTAAGAGAGAAAACACAATTTTAGGCAATAGCACACTTTATTAGAGACTCAACCAACTATCTTCTTTTTAATTTAAAAACATTGCTAGGTCTACGACTAATCCCATATAGAGACGGGAAGTCTTCTATAGTACATCGAAAGTTAATGATGTGACCAAGAACTAAGATTCTCATTAAAAATATGATTGTTTGGTCTGTATTAGTATTATCTAATACTATTACCAAATAACAATTAACAAAATATATCTTCCTACAAATTTTGTATATATAAATTTAACTGTAAACATTTGCAAGATGGTGAATATACAAAGATGTCACGTTGTCCAATCTCGACAGGCCCAAGTAATTTTCCAATTGGGTGTTTCGATGACCCAAAAATGTTTCTGATTTCAAGTCAATATTAAAAAATCAGGTGTAAAATCTAAAAGATTTTTATTAAATTAGGCCTATGAAATGATAAAAAGTGGGAAATGAATTTCACTACATTACAGTCCAAATAATGAATGACCGAAATAACCATGCAAGTGGTGATAATGAACCATGCTGGACGAATGTTTAAGCAGGGTACCTGAAGAATTGAGGTATACATCGAACCTTGCACCCCTTCGTATCGGAGGGAACAATTTGCTGCGAGTCGCTGAGAGGGCAAATCTCAGCTGTACGTCCAAACTTCGCGACTTCTGTACCATACAACATAGCTGGTGTTGGTTCTTTGGCATCAATTTTAGGTTATATTTCAAATTATATATTACTGTATGAGTGTTCATAAACTAACTAATATATTCAGTTAGCCTATAACAAATTATTAATTATCAAAATCATACTAATATTATAAATGTGAAAGTTGGTGTGTTTGTTTGATTGTTTATTTGTTTGTTTGTTTGAAGTTCAATCACGCCCCAGTGGCTCTGAAGTTTCCCATGTTAACCTTATGAGTACTGTATTCATATTTAAAAGGAATTAAATAACTTAGTCAGCTTTTTCAACTACACAAGTTGGTTCTATGATATTTAATAGCATTATGAAGTTATAAAGTTTACCAACAGGGTGCAGCACTATTAATTTTGTTGAATTTATGACAACAGCTAATTTGAAGCAAGCAGCATCAAAAAACTGTGGTACACTTTGAGAAATTTACTTTTTTCTATTGTTTAGGTGCAGTGGTAGAACATTATAGCTATGGCAGATGTGCTATACTATAGTATACCGTAAATTAAAACAACCAAATTTTCTTAAAGCGTGTCCTCTCCCATTGCAAACGCAAAGCACAAGTATAACTGCAATAATAATTTTATACTTATACGCCAACCCCGTACGAAGGACGGGTACTCTGCTGGCACCAAATAGAAAACAAAATTTAATGTTTATTGTTGATACAATAAACATTAAATTTTGTTTTCTATTTGGTTGAAATTTGGGTATATTTATTTTATTTTATAGCCTATGGCACATTTTAGCGGATTTCCCTATAGCTATTATTTAACATTTATTTAGTCAGAAACAGGCCAAACCCTGGTTGTGTTACCCTCTAACGTCAACCTTTTTTGATTGATTTTGGAAAATTGACGTCAAAAATTATTCCTGGAGTATGATGTTAAATGTGTTGTTTTAATTTGGCCAAGGGGTTGTTAGTGGAGAAAGTTAATTATTGCAATATTTTCGGCCTAAAACAACAGGAGTAAAGTTTAAGAGAAGACAATTGTTATATTGTATTCAATGGTTTGAATGCCGAGTAAAAATTAACTTATGTACTGGTAATGTAAACTTCATGGTTTTTAGGTTTTAAAAGATTTTTTTTGCTGTCCACTTTCACGAACTAGGACGCTAGGTTATAGCCTGGAACCATTTTAGACATTGTTTCGAGCAAAGCCTATAGAATTACGGCATTACCAAACTTAGATAAAATCCCTACCCAAATTAGGCTACCGGTTGTTAAATAAATATAGAATTAAGTATGTAATTTTACCTCAAACGACAAAAGGGGTTCATCACCGTCTTCCCGGTAATACTCAATGTTGATAGATATGACACCCTTGGTAAAAGCTCTGACAGTTATGAAAGAGTCTCTCACAGCTGTGAAAGTATACAAGGTTCCTCCGCCTTGAAAGTCACTGGTGTAAACCTCCTTCAGCTCCGGGATGAACTTTGATAAAACATCCTGGACTGCGGACTTGAGGCCATTTTTCTCCACGATTTTTTGAGGGTCAACTGTCAAATCCAAGAGGATTGTGTTGACAGCCATCTTTACTCTGAAAAGAAAAACACAAATTTAGATAATAAAATATATTTATTGATGAGGAATGTTTGTACGTCTCTATGGTGCTTCCATTGGTGGTTTTATCCATACTTAGGCCTACTTCATCTATTCTAACCTATTTTGTATCTAGTATTTGAAGATATTGTGGAGACGTTTGGAAGACGCTACCACCGAGAATAAATCCTGTTCTACCATAGATTTCTGGGGTCTCAAGTCAACCGCTATTGAAGACCATTACCAGTTGATGGATGTGAACATAGTAAAGTGTTTGGACGTAGAAAAGTGTGCAAAGCTGAAGAGAGTTTGGAGTATGGTCTTAAACATTTGCAACATTTTTTTTGCTCAGGTGCATTCTTTGTCAGTTGCACTTCATAGCAGGCTAAAATATTATAGTCCTATATAATATTTTGCTATTCTTACCGAAACATTCTACCAAACATGTTTTTCTTATTAACTGACCATAACAATAGGGCAAACATGAAAAAATATTAGTAACAGAGTAGCCCAACTAATGAGAAAACAGGTACCTATGTATAAATTTATAAAAATCCCTATGAATAAAATGATTAATAGGAATTTTATGTCATTCATCCATGTACACTTCAGTGGCGTACCGACGGGGGGGCGGAGGGGGCGGTCCGCCCCAGGCCCCACACCAACATAGGCCCCCAAATCAGGGCCGTATTCCCCCAACGGCGGACACGGTGCGGCGATTGCCGAGGGCCTCTCATCGGCCTAGGAAGGGGCCTCACTTGGGTCTCAAAAAACTTATTTTCTCTTCGAAAATAAATTTTGTTGTTAGAAAATAACAATCTGTTCTCACAATTGCCGCAAGCGTCTGCAAAGGTCGCGCGATCGAAAATCACGACTCCCAGGGATTGCGATCCTCGGATGACGATAATAAGGTCTCGCAACCGCAAAAGATGTTCCGTGTTCACGATTTTGCCGCGATCGTGGGGGACGATAATGTTGTCTGCGCGTTCGCGGGAGATGTTAACGACTTGGGCATGTAGAGTACATCCCTGCGTCCGCGAAAGATGTTCACTATTTCACCTTAAACATAGGCACGATTTATCCTCTGTCTCGGAGATAACCCACACGACCGCGGGAGACGGAGATCACGACCCTGCAAACACGATTTCGTCTTCACCGAGGACAATATCGTTCATTTTTTTGCCGCGATCGCAGAAGTCGTTTAGACCTATTATACTACAAAATATAATGTATAATATTAAGATAATATAATTATACATTTTATACAAAAATAGTAGGCCTATCTCCTAAATAAAAAAAAGTGAAAGAAGTGACAGCAAAAACCCCGATTTGTGTTACTTCTTGTTGTCCTCATTTAATTTCATTTAACTTTATTTATTTAAGTACAATACATAAATACAGGAATGTGCTCGTGCTCATTACGAATCTCTCACTCATAAAAACAAAATGTTTAAAGCTTAATGAAAAATTTAATTTAGCATTAAATTTTTCTGAAATAAAAAAAAATAGGTTAGGCCTACTTTTGAAATAGTGGAAGTTTAAGCTCATTTAGGCTAATCGGTGATACAAAATACATTAAAAGCGCATTTTTCTTTTTAGTTCTAATCACTGTTTAGGGTTACTTTTTAATAAACACCATGGTACCTACCCTGTTTAAAATGATTTTAAACATAAAATGATTTTAAACAGGGTACTATGGTATTTGTTTTTCACTTATATATATGTAAGGATGTAAAAAAAGGCCCTCTCATCTAAGCCGCCCCAGGGCCACAACTATGACAGTACGCCACTGGTACACTTTGGTCTAAAAAATATTCATCCTCCTTTAGACTACAGTAGACCCCCTCTTAACCGACCCTAATGGGACCGGACCTACGTCGGATAACTCAAAAGGTCGGTTAAAACGGGCAATCCCTAAAATCATAACATAATGAAATGCTATTCATTTGGAATTATATAATCAATATTTTTAAGTCATACTTGCATTATTTATAAAATAAACTACTCTTATCTCCTTTTTCGTATTAATGGAAAAGTCACAAATAAACACAAAACATGGTTGAGTCTAATAGGCCTACTTTCAGTAGAATATATTATAGTACTAGGCAACAGTCAATAAAATTCCTATTTTAATAAGCTTAGTAAATTACTGTAATGTATTAATTGATGCTCTCCAAATCCATCGTAATACAGTAGCCTAAAGAACCTTTTGTCGAAATTAAAGATACAAGCAACCATTTTGTTACAAGGGACAGGATGTTTATTTATAAGATAATCAGTTCTCAAAATCGTAACGCACTTTATGATGTTATAAATTTGCCGCACAGATAACATATCAGATCAGATGTGCTCGAGCTACGATAACGAACGATGATGAGAAACTGACAATAGGCTATGCTATATTTTTTGTGATCAATACAAAATACTGTAACCTATTCTTAGTCATATCCTGTAAAGATAAGCGTATGGTTCAGTTCTCATCGCCCAGCGTGGGAGCGGAAATGCCGAGATTCCTAGAAAGCGGCGGTTAAACCGAACTGCTCTCAAAGCAAGGTCGGTTAAAACAAACTGAATTATTTCACGATCGAAGGCGGATAACCCGATTATCGGTTAATACGAGGTCGGTTAAGAGGGGGTCTACTGTATTGGCACATTACTATTTTGTGGTCAGTCAAAGACTAAACAAGTGTGACTGTAAATTTGGTATCAAAAAACTTCTTTATTGAACTTGTAAAATTTTATAACAGAGGAAGAACATATAAATTTGGCCTACAACTATTTTCATTTCCTGAGTCGATAAGTAAAGACATAAATTATCTAATCAGAAACTTTGAAATTTAATACCCTATTCATTGATAAAGTTATGTTTTTGAGATAAAATTAATTAGCCTATATGGCCCTTGAAAGAAATGGTCGTATGATTAATCATTGATAAAACCTACAACTCCTGTGGATGAAAAGAGGTTTTGCTTCTTTTTACTAAACTGGACTGAGTTTTTTATTTGTTGTTGTTTCACTTGTTTTACAGTATTTTTGTTATTAGGCAACTTTGTAACTAACATGGCAACATGGACCTGGGATGAAAATCTATTTTGTTAATTTCTAGATGGCTAAATCAGATTAGGTTAGGATCACCTAGTCAATAAACGTTTGTATAAATTGTACAAAGTGATTTTGTTACTTTTTACTTGATAAATTACGTTACCTACTCATGATGTAAGTTGCCTTAAAATGTAACAATGGTATGAAAAATTGTAATAAATACAGTAACTTATTGTTATAATCTAAAGCTTACCTTACGATCCAATTAATTTACTTGTCGGTTTGATAGAATTAATACAAATACAAACACTGAATATACATAAATATTTAGAAAGACATACAGTAGGACTAGACTCGGCAGAAATGGCATCTCTTTAACCAGACAATTTTTATCAGCACATCGGTTTAACCGGACTAGATCAGCAGGAAGTGGGCGGAACTGTAACGACTGTTCTCGTGAGAAATATTTGAGACCAGTGATCACGCGATTAGGCTAAATACAATGCTCTCCTAAATTTAAGTCAAGTACTGTATACAGTATGCATTTAAACGGTCCTTTTTAACGAGTTTTTGGGGACGTCGGTTTAACCGGAAAACCCGTTATCCGAACTGGCCTTGGTCCCGAGGAGTCCGGATAAAGGTAGTCTACTGTAGTGGGGAACTTAGATGCATGGCCATGATCTTTTCAATCCTAACCTCCAAAGCTGGGACGTGATAAGGATGCCTTTACTATCTTCAACTTCTAGCATGGTTGTTATCACTCCATAGAGTTATTTATTTTTGCGATTGGGTGAACTTATGACATTATTTAGGCTACTGTAGGCCTAAAACCCAATGGGAAATGGATAACATATTCAAACGTTGTTTATTAAACAATAAGGCTAATGAATTCAAACACGCTTTCTTTTAGGCCTGAAGTAGCCTACTAACTTATTTGGAGTGGAGTTTAGATCAGTCACCATCATTTTCAACAGCAAATCCTTGCAATTCACCGCATAGGCCAATTGTACGGTAATTACTTCGCTCTTCCTTAGCACAAAAAAAAAAAACAATCTAAATCGTAGGCCTACAACATTAAGTTTTTTTTTTATCTGTGTTATTATTTCACATCATTTATATATTTAAAAGTGTTAAAGCTTAGCCTGGAAAAGAACTTATTTGTGCGTGACAAAGGTTATTCAAGATATTCAAAGGTATAACTTATCGTGAATAAAGGTTAAACTTACGGGTATGTTCAGTAAAATTTAAAGTCTTAAAACTAAAAGAGAGTGAGGTTAAGTGGTAGACAACACAAGCTTTTAAGTACAGTGATATTTTACAAGTGATTTAACAGTAAAATAGTTCAAACAGTGTTTTAAAGTGTAAGATATTTCAAAATTGTATTGAACTCTAACCGTATTTTACTTCAAATTGAAATTTTAACTTTGATTTTATAAAAAATTTAACTATTTTAGAACAGAAGAAAATATAACCTCAAATTCAAACAGTCTAGACTTACTACAATTACTAATAAAAGGAATGAACTATAGTCTATTTGATACATTTCATGCAGTTTTGGGTCTCTTGTAAGAGTAATAAAGTAATCAATCATATTAACTCAATAAGAAAAAGATTTTTACAATAGAGTTTCTAAACTAGGCCTAGCCTAGGTCTCATCAGTTTTGATCCCTCCAGTGATGACAGACTATCAGTTAAAGCAAGAGTACTGATAAACAGACATATTTGTTGCATTTTTTCTTGCTCCTGCTTACATCTACTGATCATGAGTGTTAATGAAAAACAACAAAAATCCAAAGCCCAGTCTTGTCAAAAAAATAAATATTTGCTGAGGAATAGGCTTAGGGAACAAATCACCCCAAAAAGTGACAGTAAAGGTTCCAATACCAACTTGCGTTGTGGTGTCAAGCGTGTGAACTCTAGCTGTCAGACTGATCTAAGCTTATCAGGCCTCCCTCA